ATATGCATCCAGTGTCATAGATGAGAGGAAGTTGAACAACTTGACTAGCAACATTCTTAGCTTGACATACAGTTGCTTAATCTGTTTTCTTTTTTTTTTTACAATATGTCGAAAATGTGTATAGGAGGCAAACTTGATGCATAAATAAATACTTTCAAATACTTTCATCAAGTGATCTGAATTTAAACACTTCGTTAGGCATTTAACTACTGGAAGCAGATTTTTTTGTCTCAGTGTTGTTGTCTCAGATTTGCTCTCAGAGAAAACCTAGATGCCTAGATCAGGTTCAGTGGCCTGACTCCAAAGAACATTCTGCAAATATTGTGTTGGCGTCCATCCACCAGGGGTGAAGTGAAACCACTGGATAATCACAGCACCTGACTGAAAAGTCTAGTAACTCATAACTGCTGTCTCCTGAATTGTTTTTGTTGCATTAGCAGCACCAAAGTGACCTTTCTGGGATGCAAGCCTGGGTAGTATATACAGAGGTCCTGGACTGCCCAGATCACAATCCTCAATGATGTGGCACCAGCTTGGCTGCAGTAGTTGCCAGAAGGAGGCGTACAAGACAATATTCAACCATCTTAGGACTTCACGCCGGATTTTACTGGTACTCACCATGAAGTTGTTATAGTTAGTGCCACACTTTTTAACCCAAAAAAAAGAAGAAAAAAAAAGAGGGAGGTGCTGGGACTGTGTACTCTTGAGTACCCCCTGAAAAAAGCACTAGGTTTATTCCTTAGCCTTTTCCTTTCCTGAAGATGTCCTGCAAGACAGCAAGTACAGTTTTTCCTGTGTTTAATTCCAAAGCCTTTGTCACAAATGAGTATAGCTGCAAGGTAGTGAGGTTTAGGAACAGAGTTTTCTTTTTCCTAGTGTAGAAAAAAAGGAACTGATTTATATTTCTGGAGTATCAAATTGAAAGAAATTATCCATTTATAGTACATATTTCATTCTCTAGTATCTTATCAGAAACGAAAGTGGGTGAAAATGATGTATTATGAATATTACAGACTCTTAAGCAATAAAAAGCTATTTGAGCACTTGCTGAAAGGTATAAAAGTGGGAGATGAGGTTTGCTGACTCAGTCAGCATAACAACCAACAACACCTTTACAAGTCTTCAGTCCTGCATTTCTAATGTTTCTTCATAATACTGTTACATGCCACCCCAATCTCCATGAGGATCACAGCTGTATCTGCATTTCCAATTTCTCAGTTGAAATGGTAAACTTAAGGGTCACCAATCAAATGACCTGCTAATGATGAAGCCTGAACCAACAATTTAGAAATTCAAGAGACTAAAACTTTTCCCCAGTTTGTTGAGCAATAACAGAGTTTGATTAACTTGACTGAGTTTGCTGACCGACTGCCCCTGGTAACTACAGCAAACAATGCAGTAATACTAGCAACTTGCACTTACTCTTTCTTAAAACACTGAGGTTCATTTTGTATGAGCTGTTCTTCAATGCTAGAATTAATCATTATTCACTTGCTATGGCCGAGTATAAAATCTGAGCCTCTCGTATATTTTGGCCTCTATTTATTGAACCCTGTTTTGTTTTTTACATTTCCTGCTGTTATTCTGTTATTAAAGCCAAACAATCACTCCAGGAAATGAGGACAGGGAGGAGGGTAGTTTGAAATGAAAATGTTTTCCAGCTTCCTTTTTTCCACTTTTCTGTTCCTTCCGCCATACCCTCCCTCAGATAAAAGGGGGGGGGGTGTACAAAGCCAGGAAAGTTATGTGGAGATCCTTGTGTGGATGGGATCTGTTTGACTTAGTCTGAGGCAGCATCACCAGAGCTTATCTCCCAAACATGTATTTTAAGGCTAATGCTCAGCCCTGGAACATGATAATGATGTGAGGCATGTATAAAATACTAATAGGTACCCCAAACTTGCCCCACACCTGAGATTAAAGAGTTTCTAAAGCAGTTAAGTGATTTTAGCGCCAATTTTGGCTCTGGTACCTTTCAGAAACTGAGCACTAATTCCGAGGAGAAAAGGAGAGGTTAAGGCAGAGGGCCTTCTTGGTAGTGGCGCCCTCCCTGTGGAACGTCCTCCCTTCAGATGTCAAGGAGTTAAAAGAATTGTACAACTTTTAGAAGACATCTGAAGGCAGCCCTGTATTGGGAGGTTTTTAATGCTTGATTTTTTAATGATATTTTTAGATATGCTGTAAAGCTGTCCAGAGCGGCTGGGGAAACCCAGCCAGATGAGCGGAATACAGTGGTACCTCAGTTTACGAACTTAATCTGTTCTGGAAGTCCGTTCTTAAACCAAATCCATTCTTAAACTGAGGCACGCTTTCCCTAATGAGGCCTCCCACTGCCGGTGCCCTTCTACCGTTCAGCTTCCGTTTGTAGACCGAGGTAAAGTTCACAAACCAGAGCACTAATTCCGGTTTTGCGGAGTTCGTAAACCGAATAGTTCGCTAACAGGACTGTTCATAAAGTGAGATACCACTGTATAAATAATAATGTTGTTGTTATCTTCCTGTATTTGCCCTTGTACCATGACATATTCCATTTTATGGAAATTATTCCTTTACTATTCTTGCCTGTTAGAACACATTAAAACACACGTGTAAAGCTTTCTTTAATACTTTGCTGCTCTCAAGTATCCTAACTAACTGCTGTGGCAAGCCTGTCCAAGTTACTTCTGTAAACAACAGCTGTGGTTCAAGTGCAGTCCTATGTCTTCTTGGTAGCCACACCACACCTAATATTGTGGGACTGTCTGAAGAAGGGCCTCAGCTGAAGTTCTTAGCGTATGGGCAGGCACATCTGAAGACAGTCCTCAAATTATACTGCATAATTTTACACTTCTGATAATTTTTTGTGTCTTTGTGCATACACAGATTTGTAGTTGATGCATGCCAGGTGTATTCTCTGGCACCTTTGGTTAAGGAGCCTGGCCAGCAGGACTGGGAAAGATCCCCACTGGAAACCCTGGAAAATGAACAATACTTGATTTTATGGACAAGTTAACAATATAAGGCAGTCTCATCTATATGAAGGGAGCCCTTCCCTGCACTGTTACAGGCCAAGTGCACATTTTAAAAAGGCAATAATGTAGAATTGCTTAACTCTGGGTGTATGTTTTAAACAATTATGTACTTTTTGTGCTGCTATTCATGTACATTGCTGCTTTAAAAACATTGCACACTGAATAGCACTTAAAAAAACCAACAACCCACCGCCACCACAATACTGACTATGCAGCAAAGGGGCAATCATGTATTCTTCCACACACCACTAAATGCAGTGTTAAAATACTCAAATTAGCAGCTGCAAATTAAGGACCTATAGAACTTGAGGCAAGCAATTAAGTCTGTGCCTATCTAATTGCTGCTGATCTTAGCAAGAGAGACCCTACTTATGCATTATGTAATTGATGGTGGAAAGTATTGTCTTCAGCCTACTTAGCAAGACTTCACTGAGAAGATGATTAAGCAGGCAGAGGGTTGCCTATTGTGACCTTGGGGCTTCTTCAGTGCCACCAGCCCTGGGCTTCTGCAAGGAGTGCTCCCCACATGAATTGTAATCCATAGCCCAGCCTTCATTTTTCAAAGAGTAACTTTCTAATGTTTGTAGAACTTGTGACACGAGGCAAAATGCAGGTACTATGCAATAAATAAGAATACAATTTTTCTTAAGGCTTTTTTTTTGGGGGGGGGGGAGAAACTTTCAGAGTTTAGGAAAAGCAGATCTCACCAGTTAGACCAATGAGAAGGCAAGAATGAAAACATCCAATGTGTTTTGTTTTTAAGTCTTTTCTGCTGGTCTTCCCTGGTGGAGAAGTAGAGAACAAGGTTACAATATTGACACCAGTTGCTGGGAATTACAGATGGGCAGGGTGTTGTTATGCTCAGGTTCACCTGGTTGGTCACTGTGAGAACAGGATGTTGGACTAAATGGGCTATTGGCTTGATCCAGCAGGGCTCTTACGTTCTTATGCCACTCGATGGAAAACAACTCAGATATTCAGGATTTTAGTGTAGTTGTGATTGGGAAGTAGTTTCAAAAACAAAAGGAAGCAGCAATGAGAGGTCATGAGCTTTCTTACTCCAGATCGTATTCACATTTAGGGAGAATAGGTAAGGTTCCATTCCCAGAGAGAGCAAGCGTTTACACAAAATGTGTTGGTGTAAAAAGTTACAAGACAGACAGTTTGGATCTGCTGCAGGGATCTGCTGCCACAAGCAGGGGATTGATGACGAATGAGTGATGAGTGCTTTTGATAGGTAATGTGATTTTGGGAGGACCACAACAGGAGCGCAGCAGGAGATCTGAGGTGCAGCTTTCAGTATGTAATCCAACTGCCTTGCTTCCAATTCATCACTGGGTCCTGGTCTTGCAGCACGTCTGGTTCCTGCCCCACCCCAAGCTGCTAAATCCCTGTGGGGTGGGGTGGAGAAAAGTGACAAGTCAGTCTATATCACCCTCCAATGTAGTCTCTTTCAAAACAGACAAAGGAAAAAAAAGGGGGGAGAAAGTACTGCTTATGATGCCGGTTAACTAGCGGAGGAATAGGATGCAGAATGTAAAACGGGTCTTCCACTTGCTATTCGCTCTCCTGGTCCTCCATGCAGTGCACTGCCTAAGCATGTGTGTGTGTGTGTGTGTGTGTGTGTACCCTCAGAAGTAAGCTCTTATCACTTTTTATTGCTTCTTAAGTATGGTAATACCATACAGCCGGATCCCATGCACGTTCATTTCAGTGGAGCGTATTTTGGAGTAAACGTGCATACGACTGGCCTCCCTCCCTCCTGTAGTCTTATCATGCCTTCCTCTTCGACCAGCTTATCTCACAGCATCTTCCATCCCTTTCTAAGTTCCTCTTCCATGCCCCTAAACAACTCGTGGTATTGCAACGTCTGTGCCAGGGATCAGGAACCTGTGGACCTCGAGATGCTGCTGGACTACAATTCCCATCAGCCCTGACCACGTGCCATGTTGGCTGGAACTGATGACATCTGGGTCACAGGTTCCCCTTTCCTGGTCTGTACCGGCCCAGCTTTGAAACCTGCATCCTCACCGACCCACTTTCCTCGCCGCTCTTATTGCATTGCCGCCCTCCCATTCATTCCTCCCCTCTGCCCTCCTGGGGCTTTTCTCGTGCCTTCCTCCCGTCGACTCCCCTTCGTCCTTTGACGCCCAGCTTGCCCCCTTCGACCGCCTCCCACATCCCGATCTCCCCCTTCAAGTTCCCCCACGCCCCAACCAAGTAGGGAGGCTGGGAAAGCATGTGTGTCCCTTTAAGAGCCTTCTTTCTTCGCCTCACGTGTATGATCAGCTGACAGTGACGCTACAGGGGGAAACTCTCCCTGTTCCTGAAACATCGGGCGCTGCAGCGGGTTGCACGGGCGCCTGGTTGGGCTGGGCTCGTGTTTTGCTTCTCAGGCGTCTGCTGGGTCTGGCTGCAAAAGCAGCGCTGCTACCGTTGCTGAGTGCTTGCTCGCTGAGACTGAGCGAAGAGGGAAGCGTGCCGGGTTCTCGCAGGCAGAGACGGTGCAGGGCGAGCAGCGGTGCATTGGCAGCCTCGGAGATCCAGTCCTTGCCCATCCAGTTACTGAGACCGCTGACCGAGATCTCCCTGATTCCCCCCCCCCCGGGAAGCTTCCTCACAGCGACGGCAACTCCATACCGTAGTCCCTGAGATTTTTCCTTCCTTAGGAGCCGCTGAGACGACAGCCACTTCTTATCAGTCTCCAGACGTTTTCACCCACCTTGAGACTGCTTGATAAGAAGCAGGCTACTCTGTGACCTATTAACGCCTAATCCCAGTTGTTACCCTAGTTCATGGATTATCTGGTAGGTACTTGACTTAAACTGAATGAAATCGCCCTTCCCAATACATTTCTAGTTTGTTTCCAATTCTGCACGTTCCTATGTCTTGATATCTGTATGCTTTTTTATTTTATTTTTAAAAAATGTGACAGCACATGCTTTTCTTTTTTTAATGGTTCGTGGTGACAGCACATGCTAAAAGGTCTCTTGGATTTAACAGAGAATTGTTTGCGCTTTTTGAAAAAGTGAAACTTAGTGGTTCTGTGAAGGTCCTTTTAGCATCAGTTTCACAAACAAACCTGAGTTTATCCCTCTCTATTGTTGACAGGGTAGGGTGATGGGAAGAGGTTTTCCCTATTGTGTCTTGTGAGCTCTCGATTAGGAAATTGCATTCCTCATGCTCCAGGGTTTTTTTTTATCAGACTTTAAACTATTAAAGGCCAGTGAGCAAGAGTGGCTTTCCTAAAGAGGACTATAGTCCCACTCATTTGGTTATTAGACTTCTAAACGCCTGACCTCGGTCACTAGTTTTCCTTCTAAATGTATAAACAGAGGGAACGCTTGAATGCATCAGACTGAAACTGGGCATTTGTAGTTCCTTACCTGACTAGTTTGGTATTCAGCAGTAACACTTAGCAGTCTTTAATGACTGTTGCCCTTATTTGTACAAAAAGAGATTTTATCTCGGGTGTTTGCTCCAAGGTTGAATGACTTTTCAGGTTCATGAAAACACTGGCAACTACAAATCCGAATTGCGGTTACATATGAAATAAGAACTTTACAGTAACGTGTTTGCTTGGATGATTTTTCAAATCTAAAGTAAAACAAAACAAAGTTTAGCTAACTGGTAGTAAACAAACACACATGGTTTGGTGTGCTTGTGTATTGATGTACTTTCTGTTGCTGGATTTATGACTCTGGAGTATAAATAAGCAGTGATGTTTTCCTGTGCTTTTCAAACAACTCACTTCTTTGCATTTCAGAATACATCTTGCCACTTAATGGTTAACACTCGCTTGCAAGTAATTAAAGTAAATTATAAGCTATTTAGTCATAAAGTGTTAGTGTTCTGATATGCTGCTCCATGGAAGAGGTGTGAGTTGCTATGTCTCCTTGGTTTCAGATTCTTATAAAGTGGTTGAGAAGTAAAGGAATATATGAAGAGATGCCAACTTATGTGACCAACATCTGTGCAGACTGCACCTGTGAAACTTACATTATAGTTTCTTGAAATTTCACTGCTTGAGTTCTCAAATTGTCAAATCCTCATAGGAAAGGCCTGTGTGAATAAATTGGCCCATAAAATCTATGTGCAAGATTGGTTTAATTATCCTAACAGGAGTTAGAATTTTTTTACTTTTTGATATTTTGAGGTGGAATGTGCTTCTGTTTGTGAGACCAAAATATTTTTTTGGGGTGGGTGGGGGCCTGCTTTTAAATAAGAGTTACCTTAAAAGGCTAACAAATTTAGTATGGTGTAAGCTTTTGTGGGCAACAGCCCATTTCACCAGATGTATGAAGTGTTATGCTGAGTTACAGGTATATAGTAACATATTTGAGAGGAGGGGCAGAATTGTAATTGTGAGCTCAGAAGGAAATGAGATGTAGAAAGTGCAGATACAGCGATAATTATGTAATTAACAAAACTGTAGCTGGTGAATAATATCCTGGTATTTGTATACCAATGAACACATAATAAAAGTACGCAATTAACGCTAATAAAAATACAACTACTTTGTCCCAATTCAATTCACAGGAGATGGAATCCACCCAAGAGTTTGCAAAGAACTTAAATGTGAAATTGATCTTCTCATAAAAATATGTAACTTGTCTCTTATATCAGCCTCCATACCTGAGGATCAGAAAACAGCCAATGCAACACCAATTTTTTGAAAGGGAACCGGGGAGGATCCTGGAAATTACAGGCCAGTTAACATCTGTCCCATTAAAACTGGTGGAAAGTATTTATAAAGATAAAATAACCAAGCATATAGAATAGTAAGCCTTACTGAAGCAGAGCCAGCATTGCTTCTGCAAGGGAAAATCCTATATCACGAAGCTATTCAAGTTCTTTGACAGTGTCAAGAAGCATTTAGATAGAGGTGATCTGGCTGACATAGTGTATTTTCCAAAAGCTTTCATATTGCTCATAAACAATCTAGAGTTAGAAGCGAGCAGTGAAATTGTTCAGAGTAGTTAAAACAAAAGGAGATCACAAAGATTTCCAAAAGGACCTCTCCAAACTGAGTAGTGAAGGTCTAGAAATGAGACCAGGGGTCCTTCACTTCCAGTTCAGACCCCGGCATAAGTGGATATGTGAAATTAATGGCCCCCCTCCCACATGCATCACTTGATAGTGTGGTGAGCCAGTGTGGTGTAGTGGTTAAGAGCGGTAGTCTCATAATCTGGGGAACCGGGTTCACGTCTCCGCTCCTCCACATGCAGCTGCTGGGTGACCTTGGGCCAGTCACACTTCTCTGAAGTCTCTCAGCCCCACTCACCTCACAGAGTGTTTGTTGTGGGGGAGGAAGGGAAAGGAGAATGTTGGCCGCTTTGAGACTCCTGAAGGGGAATGAAAGGCGGGATATCAAATCCAAACTCTTCTTCTTCTTCTCTTTACACTTGTTACATTGAACTGTATTTGCCATTCAGGACAGATAGAAGAAAGTACTTCTTCATACAACACATAGTTAAACTATGGCGCTTGTCCCTACAGAAGCCAGTGATGATCCCCAACCTAGATAGCTTTAAAAGAGGATTAGGCAAATTCATGGAGGAGAGGGTTGTGGAAGGTTACTAGCCATGAGCTGTTAGCAGTAATGATTCTGAATACTAGTTGCTGAAAACCACATGAAGGGAGTGCCATTTTGCTCAAATCTTCCTTGTAAGTTTCTCACGGGCATCTGGTTGATCACTGTGAGAACAGGATGCTGCGCTAGATGAGCTATCAGCCTGATCCAGGATCCTTATTACTTATTGTAATTCGGCACTTTCATGATCTCCTTGAAGTTTTTTGTTATGATGTTCTGTATTGATACTAATCTACAACACATACTGGGCAATGGCACTAACCTCTTGCAGGGCTTGCTTCCAGAGAGCTCACCAACCTAAAACAGTTATTCAGCAGTAATGGCAGTTTACAAAACAGAAATACAAACAAAGAAATTAGTCTCTATTTATTGGACATGGTTGCCAACTGTGGCAACACTATTACGGGACATAACAATGTCATTTACAACATTAGGGATTCATTCACCTGCTCGTCTTGCAGTATGAGGTATGCCACCCTCTGCCAGCAATGCTCTTCTTGGCAAACAAACCAGTCTTTGTACAAAGGAATAAAGAGACAGAAATCTGTCATCAGAAATGACAATGTTAAGAAACCAGGGTGGGTCGGGGGTGGGGGTGGGGGAGATTTCGGCATCTGGAATACTCTGTAACTGACCTTAGAAGTACCAATCTTTGAACAAAGAAACTTCAAAGAGAAACTGGAATGTGAAACAGCTCATTCACAGTTCACCAGGAGTTTCAGTTCTATCAATTCTGGACTGAGCTTGTTTTTTAAAAATTAATGCTACATGTGTTGATTGGCTTACCAGTCATTGATCACCAATGACTGTTTTGTGAATGATCACAAAATTATCACTTTCAGTACTATCCCACATTTCATTTACCGTATTTTTTGCTCTATAAGACGCACCAGACCACAAGACGCACCTAGTTTTTGGAGGAGGAAAACAAGAAAAAAAATATTCTGAATCTCAGAAGCCAGAACAGCAAGAGGGATCGCTACGCAGTGAAAGCAGCAATCCCTCTTGCTGTTCTGGCTTCTGGGATAGCTGCGCAGCCTGCATTCGCTCCATAAGACGCACACACATTTCCCCTTACTTTTTAGGAGGGAAAAAGTGAGTTATAGAGCAAAAAATACGGTACCTCTAACCAACCTACCTTCCTTCCTTCCTTTCTTTCCTTTCTTTCTTTCTTTCTTTCTTTCTTTCTCTCTCTCTCTCTCTCTTCTCTCTCTCTCTCACTCACACACACACACACACACACACTAAGACACACCAACCTCACCTGTAACTTAGGATCTTAGTTCATGAAGTGACCTGTAGTCTGTGAAAGCTTATGTCATAATAAATTGGTTTGTGTTTAAGGTTCGGCAAGACTCTCTATTGCTTAAAATGGGAGCAGTATTTGACCAAAATAGATTTCTATAGCTTTTTGGTTAGCCTACCTTACTGCATCTCCCTAAAATGAAAACAAAAACGAACAGTTTACTGCTGAAAAAGAATAAAATGGTGAGGTCTGAGAAAGTTTGCACATTATATTTATGCGTAAAGGATTCATTTGTCTCCAAAACATTTGTGTTCAGTCTTTATGCTGGGAAAGAAGATGTTTAACGAGATGGTATGTTTCTTTTTAAGAGCTTAGTTAATGGACCACTAGTAATGAACTTGAATGTTCCAAGAGCAAGCATGCTGCAGCTCCCTGGAAACCTGGAGATTTCTCAAGTGATTTTCTGGAAATCTGTCTCTCATGTGTTTTTGAAGGAAACATTGAAATGCATGATTTTTGCAGAACTCTGTTGAACACTTAGTATATTTAATTGATTTTGAAATAGGCTCATGTATGTGGGAAATTTACAAAATGCTCTTAGCTGAGCTCAGACTGACCTATTTCTCAGCTTCTTGCCCTTCCCTTCTGCTGTCTTACTGCATGCAGCCTCACTGTTTGCTAATGGTGTGCGTTGTGAAAATATGACATACTTGCTTTTCTTTCTTTTAAAATGTTTTCAGCACCTGCTCTTGCTGTTCTTAAAATATACCTGTATCAGTTCTTTTTCTGCCATAACTCACACAAAGGATGGTACCCTATTATATTTATGATACCTTTTATGAAATGTGAGACTAGAATTTCAAATCCCTACTTTTTGACATGTCTAGTTATTATGGGTTGGTAGTCTGCTTGATTTGCTATGTATGAAAGGAAAGACAGAAGAATAGAGTTTGGAACTTGAATATGCT